GTTAAACTCAGCGCAAAAAGTTTCCATAGTGAATGTTCACTTTCTCTGTACATGTACATGTACTGTACATGTTCATGTTCATGTTCATGTTCATGTTCATGTACATGTACAAGTACATAATAATATAAAGATTAACTGGAGACTTTTTTACCAAAAAGGCAATTTTTTTCGTATCCACGGCAACTGTGCAGGTGGTGATTTTTAAAAATGGAATGGGAAAATTTTGGCGAAAATCTGGTCAAAATGGGATGATCGACTAAAATTTTTTCCACTTAAAGATAAAAATTACCAGAAAATCTTATCTTTGGGTTAATATTGCGTATAATCTTAGCTTTTTTTCTCTCATATTTTCCTTGAAATTATGGTTTAAACATATGATGTGAAAAATAAAAAAAAAATGAAATATATTTCATCACAAAATGTTAGTTAATTGTACCAGAATTTATAATTTTCTTAATTATCCATTAACCTAAAGAGAAAGATATGTAATAGTGAAGTCTACAGAAAATACAGTAGCTTTTAAACATTTTAGACTTAAAAACCTAAAATCGCTACTTCACTCAAAACTCTTTATTGTTTATTAAATTTGATTCATAGAATATTTATAATTTTTACAACTAATATATATATATATATATATATATATATATATATATATAAAGGTAATAATCAAATTATTTATAGTATAGTACCCAATTTATTTATCCATTCAAAATCTTCAAATCCACCACAAGTTTCATATTTTTTGATTATACATTTTACTTTATATGATTGCAATAAATCTTTTAATTGCTGGTTCTTCGGATCACCCCTCGCTGAATATGCGTGTAATAATATAGAGTGTCTATCTTTTCAATTACCAAGAAAGATGTTAAGGCTTCTAATATATTCTTTACCTTCTCAGAATGAAATTTCAACCTAAACAAACTAATTGGCGAAGATCTGATCAATATTTTTAACAATTTATCCCAATTAAATTTACTAGAATAATAAGAATCATAATATTCTCTAATTACTAGTCCCATTAAATATTGACAATTAATCAAAACATTTTCAACTCCGAAATATTCCTATCATTTAATGTTAATTTAAGATAACTAAGATTTGGACAATTTTGATAAATTGCCTGGAGGAGACTTCCATCATCGTATCTTTATAAAAAATGTCAATCTCAATGATTTACAAGATATGAAAGAAAATTTGTGAAAGGTTTCCAATTTATTTTCAAATACTGAATAGTATTTGAACATTTAATTAGAGATTCTTCAACTATTTCGGGATTACTTGAATCAATTGGATAATAGGTGAAATCGACTTCTCTTAAATTTTTTTGAACTTCAATCAATCTATTGATTCCAGATTTACGGACATCAAATTCAATATATTTTAATTTTTTAATTGATTTGTTAATTATAGCTAATCTCTATAATGAAACTTTGCGTTTCATAATAACCTCGGAACTACAATTGAAGTATTTAAGTTCTGAAAAATAATGCTCACCCTCTATAATATTGTTATGATGTGAATTTTGAACATAAAGAGAAACAAATTTTGTATTCTTATTAAATAGATCCAATATTTCTTTTCCTAAATTAATGATTTTGGACTCTTTAAAATTACGTACTAACAACAACTTTTATTTAATTATATTAGTTTTTGGAAACATATGAATTTATATTTATTAGAATTCATGATAAAAAAAGCTGTAAATTATGAAAAGATTAATTCCTTGCTTCTTCAAATTATTTCTTGATTCTTCTGTTAAATGTAAAAATATTACGTTAAATAAAATATTAAGTTTATAGAAGCGTGCTTTTGGGAAAAGGTCTAGTAGTTTAATAGGGATATTCCATAGAATTGGCACCGTCATTTTACATCAAGTTCTGTTAATAAGAAGACATGAATAAAGAGATATTTTATCATATTTTAGATCTTTTAATACTAAATAAATAACGTCTTTATTTTCCATTTTTAAAAAATAAAAACTGTGTTTAATACCTTTTATTCATGTTTAATATTGGTTGCGTAAGTTGCGTGCGTAATTGTGTAACAAATTATAGTATATAGTAATGAAGCATTATAAATTTATAATGTAAAAAGAATTTTAATTGTCACCTTTCAAATTTATTATGACAAAAAGTTATTCACAATTTTGTAATGCAATTAAATAAGTCATATTTATCATGGAACGACGTAACGTCCAGCATTAGGATCAGAGACAGTGCTACTGAGACAAGTTCAATACATATTTTTAACAATTTACTAAATTACAGAAATTTGTCTTTTGGTAAAAAAAAAAATGTAGACTGTGATATGAAAGGCTTTATCTTTCAGCTTACGGGATATATCATAATTTTTATACAAAACATATTTAAGGACTTTGTTGATATTTGTCTGACAATGACGCAGGTTATAATATCAGCACATATGGTAAGTCATACAATACTTGTAACCAAATAGAATTGAACCTATCACTTCATAAAACGGATGATGCAAATATAAGAAATATTGAAAAAACACTAAAAATTTTCGCAGATGATAAAGCTTCCCACGAACCAAAATAACATTATCTCAATTTATATATTAAGTTTCGCAATTTCACCATATAAAAAATTTATTACGAAACTGGTTTAGCCTTTTTTGACGGGCGAAACCGTAAGCACCTCTAGTAATGATCTATAATATTCCAGCATCATAGAATAACGAAATACCATGAGTATCTAATTAAGATAACATTCAAAAAACAACATATGTACCAATAGTATGCACGTTGATAACTAGACAAAGAAGGTCTTTATTTATATTTATTTATCACAAAGTTGATAACGGATAATTTATTTATTTACTTCATGTTTTTTTCTTAAATATTTTTGAAGCTGATATAAAGTGATAACTCTTCTATTTTTTTTATGCATACCAAAAAAATTACAAGAAACATTTGTCCTTCATTTTAAGATAATTTTTTTGATATGAAACAACTTTGAATAATATTTTGTTAAAACAGACATTTTCCATCATGTGAATCTCTTTATATATAAAACATCTGATTAAAAAAAGAAATTCCCTTTATTTATGAATAGAGTAGATTTTAAGTTACTATTTAAAATAAATCCGATATTTTATCTCATTTATCATAAAAAATGTGCTGTTAAAAAAAAAAAATTAATAAATTTAAATATATATTTATATTTTAGGAGGGATGGCGTTAGATTGTCAAATGGGAAAAAATATTTAAGTGCATAATAAAATATTTTTTTATTATATAGATAATTCTTTAATTTATAATAATAAATAAGTTTATGTTGGTTTCGTGCATCACAATCAGCATTCTATCATATATCGTATTCTATAAAAATATAAAAAATAATAAATACATATTCAACGTTTTTTTTTTTTTTTATGAATCTATTTAAACCCTTCAAAATCATCACCATCAATGTTATATTTTTCAACTATACCATTTACTTTATATATTTGTACCAGATTTTCTAATTTCTTTCGATCATTGCTTATATGTTCCGCTGAAATTATTTGTAATAACATAGGATATCTATTCTTCCAATTATCAAAAAATAATTTTAAAGAACTTGATTTGAATTTACTCCCATAAGAAGAAAATTTAAACTTAAATAATCCAATTGGTGAAAACTTTGCCAATATTATGAATAGCATATCCCAATTAAATTCATTAGAAACATTCATCCCGGTAATTTCTAATCTATTTAAGGATAGACAATTAATCAATAGATCTTCAAATTTCAAAATATCATTAGTATTATACATTGATAATCTAAGATAGCTAAGATTCGGACAACTTTGACAAATTGTTTTGATAAGTTTTCCATCATCAATACCTTGATAAAAAATACTAATTTCAATGAGATGCGCTTTTGTATTATTAATTAAACTTGTCAACACTCTAGATGGTATGGAATGTGCTTTTAAAAACTTTAAAAGAGGTAAAGATATTTCTTCTAAATGGCTCCAATTTGCGTCATGAGGAGCTTTTATTTCTAAGCTTAATAAATTTACAAAATATGAAAGAAATTTTGTGTAAGGTTTCCAATCTATTCTCAAATACTGAACAGTATTTGCACATTTAATAAGCGAATTTTCTATTGTTGTGTGATATGATTCATTAACAACATATGTATAATTAAGAATTAAATAAACATTTTTTAGATTTTTTTGAACTTCAATCAATCTAACGATTCCAGGTTTATCGATATTATTGTCAATTTCAAATTTCAATTCTTTAATTGATGTATTTATAATAGCTAATCTTTTTAAAGTATTACAATTGATAAAATCATTACAATGAAAAGTTTCAAGTTCTGAAAAACAATTTTCAGTCCCTGAAATATGGAATGTATTGAACCTTTGAGAATTAATCAAATTCAAAAAAATAAATTTTGTATTTTTATTGAATAGATTCAATATTTCTTTTCCTATAATAGAAAATTTGAACCTTTCAATATTTTTATATTTTAAAAAAAAATCCATCATGAGTTGTAAAAATAATAAATCCAAATGTCTCCAATAACTAATATAATTAAATGAAGGTCGTTTATAAGTTTTTGTAAAAATTTCAATTCCTTGATTCTTCAAATTTTCTTTTGATTCTTCTGATATATGTGAAATAATTACATTAAATAAGTTATTATTTACTTTATTAATTTCGTAATAACGATTAACAGGATTCTTCCATAGAATTGGTACTGTAGTTTCACACCAAGTTTTATTAATCAAAAGATATGGATAAAGAGATTTTACATCATTTTGTTGTAATTCTTTTAATATTAAGAAAATTACGTCTTTATTAAGTTCCGGCATTTTTTTTTTTTTTTTTTTTAAAAAAAAAAAAAAAAAAAAAAAAAAAAAAAGAAAATTAGGCTTTGTAACTTTAATTTATACTTTTAGGACGGATGATGGCGTAAAGTATGCAAACAAATATGTGCCCTGCATATGTAGTATGCAAATCATCATGAAAGGAAAATGGAAATATTAATGATTTGCATTAACAATACTGTAAAAATTTTCATAAACAATACTGTAAAAAATTAACTTATAATTGACCATTCATGATTTATACTTTATTTATTTATATCTTACGCAGCACTTCTAAATTTATCTTCAAAAAGAAAAAAAATGTTTACTTAAAATCATATGACAAATAATGCATGATACCACGTATGTATGAAATTTCATACATAATTAATATAAATAAGGTTGGTTGAATAAGTTCGGCCTGGTCTAGTTCCATTCCGAAAGACCCGGTCTTTCAGTCAGGACCGGTCTTTTGACCGTTTACAAGACGAGTCTTTGTAATTTTAACGGTGGTATGATATAGTTGGATTGATCAACAAAGGCAATGGTCGCACTATAAATTTTAACATTAATTTATTTTATTACCTTTGTTTTCATTGTAATCTAAATATGACTCGACAGAGATTAAAAAAATAAAAATACTAGTCCATTTTTGATAAAAATTTAAAAAAACCTGTACTATTCAATTTATTGAAATATTAATAAAACTATTGTGGTAATATGTCGATCATGTAACACATAATAAATTATTTCTCGTACTTTTAACTTTTTAAAACCATCAATAAGAAATCGAATGATATATTATTACAAAGTATCAAAATATGAAAAAATTTTGATATTTCAAAATGAAATTTTGTCATGATGAAAATTTTATATAATTGGTCCCAGTCCAAATCCTGACCGAAAACCGTGAAGAACAGTCCTAAGACTAATCCAACCTTAAAATAAATAATTTTTTTTTTTAAAAAAAAATATATATATATGTATATATAATTGTATGAACATGTAAAGAAACAAAAACTGTTGGTGAACCTATTTATACGATCAAAAGCCGTGGGAAGTAAGAAAGAATTCGCGAATACAGTAATTTTTTTTTATTTAGAAAGCAATATTTATTTCTGAACAATATATGTAACAAACATATTTATTGAAATGCCTTTTTGAAATGTAAATAACATTAAAAAAACGAAAATTTATAAGAAATTAATTGAAATTTTTTATAATTATTTTTTTTCCTTTTTTTTTTTTCGAAAAAAAAAAAAAAAAAAATTTTTTTGCAAGATTCCTAAAATGTGATTTGTAGATCAATTCTTAAAATTCTTAAATGTTTATTTATTTATTTATTTTATGTCAAGCAGGAAAATTCTTAAATGTTTTGAAACCGCATTAACAATTTCTTGATTATGTTAGTTATCACCTGACACAAATCTGATCATCCGATACGCTTCATACATATGTAATATCGTATCGGATATTAAATAATCTTCATACAGTAGGAAAATTTCCTCTTCTTTAAAAACGAAAAACGTCGGAACTTAATAAAGACGTTATTTATTTGATATTAAAAGAATTAAACGATGACAATAAAACTATTTATTAATGTCTCTTTGTTAATAGAACTTGGTAGCACGAACCAAAAAACGCATTTAATATTTTATTTAAAGTAATAATTTTACATTTATCAGATGAATCAAAAAATAATTTGAAGGATCAAGGAATTAATCTTTTTACAGAAGTATTTCACCAGCCTTTTAATATTTAATTATATTAGTTTTTGGTGACATATGAATTTATATATGTATAACTACTAGAATTTAAGAATTACATGATAGTTTGACAAAATTGAAAGTCCAAACTTGTTTAAATGTTTTGACATGTTATTTTTAAAAGCTTGAAACTTAAACAGTGTTAAAACCTTATATAGTTTTAATATAAGAATTATGAATTTTACTACACATATACTAGTTTAATATTTCTTTATTTCTTTTGTAACTGTTAATTTATTTTTCTATTTCAGCCCTTAGTTTATACTTAAAAACTAAAACTAAATGTATTTTTTTAATAGATTAGTAATCATATAAACTAAATTTTTGACTTTGATTTGGTCAAATAGTTATGTCAAAATTTAGATGCTTAGACACCTGTCAAAATTTTCAGAATTTAGGTGGTTTTAATTTAGACTTTAACATTAGCCAAATATAGTTTCACCAAGTAACTATATATTAACCTTTTTGCTTACAATAAAAATAGTTTATCAATCTTAATTAGAAAGGAAATAGAAATAAGTAATAATCTAAAAGATGGCATCGATGATACAACTTCAATAAATGAATTTTATGATTATAGTATTTTAAGAATCCATAGTCTATGAAACATAACTATAATATTATTTTAAGGCAAATAAATAATACTGGTAAATTCTTAATCTTAAAGCATGGATATAAATATTAAACATGAAAAATTTCAAACAAAAATAAAATTATAAATAAAGATTATTTCAATAATTATTATATCTATATTTAAAATATTTACTTTATAGTAAAAATTGCAATATAATAACTGACAAAATGACAAATAGTACAACAAATAAAGAATAAATAACAGAATTATTAAATTTTAACTATACATTCAAAACAATCAGACTTTTCATGAACTAAGATTTCAGTAAGTTTACGACTTGTATAGTATGCTTGTGTATGAGATTGTATAATAGAAGCATTTACTTGCTTATGTACTAAAGTTTTGTTTGATTCTATAAATTCAATCATATCATCCTTTAATTTATTATCAATATTAGGTACTTCATATTTATAATTTCCATCCCTGTTAATTGTATAATATTTATTAATACATCTAACCCACTCAGATATAATATCTTCAAGCATTGTTATGGTTGGTCTATTGGAAGAATCTGAATCCCAACATTTTTTCATTAAATCTATATAACATTTTGGAGTATTTTCAATAATTTCAGGGCGTTTCCCTTCACAGACACTCAAAATGAGGTGATGATCATGTGCTACATGATTAAATGGAGGAATACCTGATGTAAATTCCCACATTATCATTGAAAAACTATAAATATCACTTGCTGGTGTATAGGGTTTTTGTCTTAATGTTTCAGGTGCCATATAAGGTAATACTCCATAAATTTCTTTAATTTTATTGTCAGAATCTTGTAAATCATTTACAGGTTTACATAATCCTAAATCAATAATAAATAACTCATTATAGCTATCTGATATTAAAATATTACCATCATGAAAATCACCATGAGTTAAATTTGATTCATGAATTACTTTGAGCCCTAATACAATTTTTTTCAATAATTGTAACTTTTCTTGCCATTTAAATTTAATTATATCAGATAAACATTTTCTTAAACATCCTTTTTTTGCATAACTCATTACTATTATATAATTTAAATTATTTGGATCCTGGGTAAATCCAAAAAATTGAATAAACTTTGAAAATGATTTTTTCTGACAATTATAATGATATTTCCACTGTATAAATAATAAAACAAAATTAATTTTTGTAAATGAAAAAAATTTGCTAATAAATATAAATGATATATATACCTCATCCAGAAAATTACTATTTAAATTTGATGAATGATTAAGTGTTTTAAGAATAACCTCATAGCTTAATTGTCTATTCCATTGTTGTTTGTCAAAATTCCAACTAAAAATAGGTCCATCTAACCAGATAGCTTTATGAATTTCACTAAATCCTCCTTTATCATAATAATTAATATTTGACAATTTATCATAAGCTATCCATTCTAAAACTTCATAACTATTTTTGGCATTTAGTTGTGAATCTTGAATAAATTTATCAATAAATTCATTTTTACTGGTCCACTTTGAAAAATCATGTTGAAATTGTTTAGCATTACATTGTTGACACCACTGGTAATTAGTATATAGTTGGTCTCTTATACACATCTAGATGTGTATAAGAGACAGTGTATATATAATTGTATGAACATGTAAAGAAACAAAAACTGTTGGTGAACCTATTTATACGATCAAAAGCCGTGGGAAGTAAGAAAGAATTCGCGAATACAGTAATTTTTTTTTATTTAGAAAGCAATATTTATTTCTGAACAATATATGTAACAAACATATTTATTGAAATGCCTTTTTGAAATGTAAATAACATTAAAAAAACGAAAATTTATAAGAAATTAATTGAAATTTTTTATAATTATTTTTTTTCCTTTTTTTTTTTT